TCCCCTCATGCTATGTACATTGGCAACTTGCTCACAGAAACAAGATGAACCCCCCACCGTATAATACGAGCCTGAACTCAGGAATCTATTCGCACTGTTTCCGTCAGATAGATAAAACAAAGTACAACAGAAAAACGCAGACAAAGGAGACGTGCGACTTGGTATCCTCCAGCACTGACAACATATTAGGTTGGAAGGAAAGTCCTGCGGTCGGTTTTAGGCGAAATTTTTTGTGGAGTGTGCCTCATGAGTGTCTGACAAAGCACTCGGATGGCCGTTACTGAGCTTCCTTTTCTTTGTACACACTAGAACAAGTTTTGTGAGATCTTGTGAGATCTTTGTGAGATCTTGTAGCAGGTGTTGTAGTCCGTACGTACACCGTGCTGGAGTCCTTGCGCAAAATCCAGAATGCGTCGGCCATCTTGATTCCGTGGACCATATCCATTGTTTCCATGACAGTTGTATCCGTCTTGGTACTGCCAACGTGGCCATTCAGGTCTCCACAGAGGAAGAGCAACTCATTTTCAGGAACTTCCGCAACGCACTCTTGTAGTTCTGTCCAGAATTGCTCTTTTTCCACATCGCTGCAACCACTTTGTGGGGCGTATGCCGAAAACACATGCAGACGACATGCCGCGACATCAGTTATGGCAGAGATGAGTCTATCTGACTTGCGCCGTATTTGTGAGATTCTGTGCGCATTTCATCGCTGACAATTTGCAAGAGCACACTCGTAAGAGTGGTGCTGAGCGGATTAAGGACAACAGTGTCAGACCCGAGCACAGGTCGGTGCAATTTCATGTTTCTATAGAAAAGCGATTACAACGGAAAGACTGTAAAAATTGCGCTGATCGCGATGCTGGTCAGTTCGCTTTGAAGACATGCTCTCGATCAAGGATGAAACTTTCACAACCGCACCACTTCACCGAGCTGTCGCCACCTCCTTGAAACAGTCATTGAAAAGAGCGGCTGCGAAAAAACTTGGTTCAGGTATTGTCCGGCCTCAGTCATGGCCATATCCATATGCGGAGAGCTGTTTAGGTGTTGAAGCAACCGCGTCGCTTGACTAACTAGGATGACCCAATTATTAGGTCGTTGCAAAAGAAATGCAGGATTTTGTTTTTTGTATTTAATACTTATTTTATTCCAATAAAATGTAAGTGTTATATATTATTCGAAAGCTTATCTAATGCTCTTTCTAAATGATACTTCAAGATTGGTTGTAATTCTTTTTATTATCATTTTTATTGACGTTTTATTGCAGATGTCAAAACGTGAATTTCGCACTATTTTTTTCTATGAGTTCAAGCTAGGCCGAAACGCTGCCGAGACAGCTCGAAACATTAACGAAGTTTGGGGTCAAGGAAGTGTCAACGAATGTACGGTCCAACGTTGGTTCCAGAAGTTTCGCTGGCAACACCAGCC